CATTCTAAATCTTACTCAGGTAAGATTTTCATTTTACATTCATTGTCAGTCTGGTGGCCGTTACCACTGCTCTTTCAAAGATCTTCTCCAAGTTTTGATGCTACCTGGCAGAGTTGACACGGATCCGTGGACGTCACCTAACTCTGTATATACCACACCTCATTTCTGTGCACTGGCGTTCCCCCTGAGCCAGCGACAGTGGACAGGTCCGCCAGCCAGACCTGCTGAAGGTCACTCTCCCACTGAAGACAAGATAACAGAACACAGCGTGGGGACAGAGGTCTTCACTTGTTTCTCTGTGGCCTGCCCCTTGTTGACGCCTGTACATGTCGCTCAGAGTGGGAAGGGTGCGGAAGGAAGGGGGAAGGTGAACCGGAAGGAAGTCTAAGAAGGGAGAGGGCAGGTTTGGCTTTGGCGCTCAGATTGGGGGGCGATATTCAACCCACTGTGAAAATAGTCAACAGTTGTGAGTGTGCGCTCAAGTTCATTTGCATCTAAAACATACTGTTGTGGTACCTTTGTGAGTGTTAACGTCTGTGGGGAGATAGGAAGTCTGTTGGGAGGGGTATGCTACAGGAAACCCCAAGTTCAAGTTTGGTGACCACAGATAGCTGGAGGTTTCTCATCATGGTTCAGGATCCTCCATCTCTTTCATACCCCTGCACAGGATGAACTGGGTTGAACTGCTTGCTATACTGGGCTTAACCTTGACAACCAGGTGTCCGGGTAAAGGCTGAAAGGGAAGGGCAGGATTTGGGGAAGACTGGTGAAGAAAGGGGTCATCTGACCTGTTATGCCGGGTGTATATTCCTGGAAGACTTAGGAACCAGCAAAAGTACTGATGGACTCATTCTTAACATGAAATGTGGGAACTCGGACCACAGCTGTCCATCTAATCTCCCCGTTTCACGAGCGCACTCCACAGAGGGCATTGCAAAGGCATTTATCTGCCTCACAGAGAGACTTTTCATCCTCCGTTGATGTACACAAAGCCAGGTGGAGTAAGTATCCTTGTGCCCGCTCATAGGCCTTCGATAAAGGTATAGAGCCTCTGACTCTAGAGCCTGGCCGCAGAGAAATACAGTGGAATTGTGTTCACAGTGATCAAGACTCATGGACACAGGAGAGCTACCAAGGAGTTTGTATATCGACTTAGTACATGGGTGAGTTTTCATATTAAAAATGAATTTAGTCCTGGCCGGTGTGGCTCAGTTGGTTGCGCATCATCCCGTGAACCAAAATCTTGCTGGTTTAGCTGCCCGGGTTGCAGGCTCCATCCCCAGTCGGGGGTGTACAGGAGGCAGCCGGTGGATGTGTTTCTCTCTCATTGATGTTTCTCTCTCTCCCTCTTTCTCTCAAAAAAACCAATAAAGACACATTTATAAAAATAAAAAATGAATTAATCATAATGAAAACAAACATTCCACAAATATTTTCTGAATGCCAATTATGTGTTTGCTTCTGTGGTAGATACTGTGATACAAAGATAGGGTAGACATCCTTGTTCATTGGGGTTCAGCTGCTTCAAAACCCTTGATTTGCACAGGAAAGTACAGACTTCTCAGGCATCTTTTCTTCACAAAGATGGTGTCGGTGACTGTAAAGTAACCCCTGACGTGCTCAGTAACTCACTTCTTTGGGAGGTTCTGGCTAGTCTGACCATCCATGATCTTGGTGGAAGACAGCCTTCCAGAGGTCAGAAGAGTAACTTAAACATCTCGTTAAAATTCATGCTACATTTCCTAAATATGCCAAGTGCCTCTTTTACATCACTGTGACTTTCCAAAATCTCTCTCCCCTTCATCTTTAATAATCAACAATGCGCACTTTTTTCATAGCTTAGAAAAGAGCCAACAAAGCCCTGGCCGGTTTGGCTCAGCGGTTAGAGCGTCGGCCCAAGGACCAGAGAGTCCCAGGTTCAGTTCCCACGAAGGGCAGGTACCTAGGTTGCAGTTTGTCCGCAGCCCTGGTTGGGGTTGTGTAGGTGGCCAGTCAATGTGTCTCACATCGATGTTTCTCTCTCTCTCTCTTTCTTTCCCCCTCTCTCCCTCTTGCTGTCTGTAGATAAATGCAAAAAAAAAAAAATGTCCTCAGGTGAGGATAATAAAAAAATAAACAAAATTCTATTTAATTGTCAAAGCATAAAAGGTAAGACCTGTGAAAAATAGACTTGAAGATAATTTAGTGCAGCCCCCTCCTTTGCCAATGTGGGAAATTACGTCCCAGAGGGAGCCGAGGTTCTGCAGAAATAGTGGCGGTTTCAGGACAAAGGCCCCCCTGTGTGCCTGTTTCCAGTCCACAGGTGTTTGTTTTCCTCCCTGTCTGTGAACACCCAGAGTGAGCTGTTCCCTCAATTCCGATACCGGTGTTTGACTTCCAGAAATTACAGAACTTGCCTTCCTATTGCATTCTTTTTGGGAAAGATATTTTGGTGCCATTGCTGGATCCATCTAAGGTTTTGGGTTCATGATCCATATTCTTTGGCACTGACGGCACAGTCAAGGCTGTTTTGACTCCGTGTAGGAGAGTCAGACATTTCACTAGCGACGGCTTTTAGAGGCAGACTAACCTCACGGACCACACTGGTGGTAGCTGGACGAGTAGCGGACTGAAAAAGACCATCGTGGCCACGGCAATCCCAACGGCTGTTTTCCAAGAGCTTTGCTGTGCCAGACACTCTCCTGAACTTCTCACGATTTGCTCATTTCATCCCATTATGAAGATGCCATCATGACCGTTTTTGTTTTATAAGGGAGAAACGAGGCTTGATCTCTGCAACATACCTCCTTCGAATGGAAATAGCGTGTCCCAGGTGGTATAGCTAAGACACAAAGGCTAAGAATTTGTCTTCATCTGATGCATCCTACAACCAGGCTCTACCATCCTACCCTTCTAACAACTCCCTGAATTTCCAGTTCCCAAAGTTCAATTCGCTACTTTGTTTTTTTGGAAGTTGGCTACATTTTCATATTGAAACAATGTTATCAAGTTCACTGAATCCATAAAGTAGACCAAATACTCTGATTTGGCTGTGTCCCATGAAAAACACGTGTCTCCAGGATCAATGTCCTTCTGTCCCTTCTTTGATGAGAGACGGTGTTCTCTCTTGAGGGAGCGGGTGAGACAGGAAATGTTCTTTGGCTTCAGATGTCACATGCCAGTCTCAGTCCTGTCACACAAGCCTAGCCCCGCCCTCCCTGTCCCAGGAACCTTGGCGGCCACTGGAATGAGGGCAGTCACATGGCCCTACTCCCCGCCATGCTGACGTGTTGCTACCGGAGGCCGCTCGCTGAACTCCTGCCTGTAATTCCTGGCTCGTCGTAGACCATCCCACGCGGGTTGACCACTGCCTGGTTTGAGCACCTGCCTGCCTTCCCCAAGGGCGGGTATCCTGCCTCCGGTGGGTCGGCTCAGACCACCCCACGGGGAACTTGCAGCCTCACGGAGAGGCTACGTTGGAATATGGGTACCCGAGGCCAAGTTACTTCTTAAGATTCTAAGTCTAGAACAACTTGACCTCGCCGAGTGGTTTCTAAGCGGAGCAGTGTCATTCTCGCTCGTGGGGTGGGGGCCGTGGATTCGGGCAGCCGTGCGCGGTGCGGACAGTGGTGCAGGGCCGGTGCACCTTCGTGGGCTCCCCGCGGCCTAAGGCCACCCCGCGGGCTGCCGCGTCTTCGGCGATGCCCCCTGCAGCTCCGGACCCCGAGAGAGTTTAATAGGAGGTGTTCCCTGGAACAGAGCCCGAAGCGTGTAATGAATCTCGCCTTTCTTCCACTTCCATGGCATTTTCTATGAGCCATTTGACTGTCGGAGATGGTCTGGGTAGCAGACACCCCTGCTAAGGGAGAGACAGGTAGAAAAAATGGAAAATCTTACAACACAAGGATAGTGCGGTTTCTACTTTGATTGAGGCTGTCTTTCGGCTTCTTGTTCCTAAAACTGTATTTTTCTCCTCTCTCTCAAAATAATAAATTACTAAGGCAAATGTTACTCCTTCACCTGAATGATCCCATTGCTGATTAATTTACAGCCGGTCGAATGAATTCCAAGTGCAGCCTTGTGATTTCTGGAGCAGGTTGTCACACATTCTCATTCCTCTGTGTTTTGGGGTACGTTTGGAAGTTGGTTTTGTAACTGATTTTTTTTTTTTTTTTATCTCTTGCATAATCAGAATCCTGTAACTGAAATAAGTAGACCTTAGAAGAGAAGGTGTTTTTTTCTGTGCTGATGCCGACCATGAGCAGGGCTCACCCCTCTGCTGGGCCGTGTAATTCAATCCCAGAGTGTGTTGCGGGGGGCGGGGGTGGCCCTACTATGCAGGAGCTGTGCTGCTAGAGGTGGTTAATATCTGTGGAGTCACAAATAATTGCAGTGAAATTGTATAACCTCGCCTGCTGCACAGCATCCATGGAAGTAAGTCTGAAGGGTGGGAACTGGAGACGAGTGATTTTTCCGACTGATCACAGTCAAATCAGAACACGTCGAAACAGCTGGTGTTCTGTGTCCCGGATCAATCACCCGGCCTAGAAGCTTCTCAGCCTTCTTTCTCTCTGCGTTTTCACAGGAGAGATTTAAACAGGCCTGTGTCCTTGCCACTCGCCTCAATCTCTGCGTTGTGTCCACAGTCTAATGCCAGGGACGAAGCTGCCTGCCATGTAAACAGTTAAATACGTAAAGGCCAGCATTAGAATGATTTGTAAACTGGTGTTGCTCCAGGTGTGTTCAGTAAACCATGTGCTCAGATAGGCCTGGAAGAAACACAGTGTTAAGGTTGCATTACGGAGCGAGACTCATTCTGCATCACCGGCATACGGATAGCACAGTGACTACCATTTCCATCTAAGGCCACGATTTTGATTTTAGCGGTTGTACAAATGGTGACATCACGGGAAAATCGGCGCGAAGGTAGTGAATGCACATCCGCAGTTGTGTGTCCTGGTGTCTGACACGATTTGGTCTCTCTGTCCCCATAGGCACCTCTCCCGCCATCCCGTGGCGAAGGCTCCTCAGCGGCCGTGACCTCCTCCAGCCGAGCCCTCCGCAAATTATCATCTCTGGACTCCCCGCTGACACCCTGCCGGAGGCTAGCGCTGCCCAGCCAACTGGAACTGTGCCTCTTCTGTTGTCAAGGTTTTCTCCTTACGCAGGAAAAAGAAAGAAAAAAAAAAGATGAAGTTGGGCAAGGTGGAGTTCTGCCACTCCCTCCAGCTCATTGCGCTTCTGCTGTGCTTTGCGGGGCTGAGCCAGGGGGAGCTGTCCAGGTCCAGCTCCAAGCCCTACTTCCAGGCAGGCCGGTCGCGCACCAAGCGTAGCTGGGTGTGGAACCAGTTCTTCGTGCTGGAGGAGTACATGGGCTCCGACCCCCTCTACGTGGGAAAGGTAGGGCCAGGGCCCTAGGAGGCCGCACGCGGTTGGTGGGAATGTCTGGGGTTGGAGAAGGCCCCTTGGCGTCCAGGGTTGGAGAAGGCCCCTTGGCGTCCGGGGTTGGACAAGGCCCCTTGGCGTCCGGGGTTGGACAAGGCCCCTCGTCGCCCTGGGGTTGGAGAAGGCCCCTCGGCGCCCTGGGGTTGGAGAAGGCCCCTCGGCGCCCTGGGGTTGGACAAGGCCCCTCGGCGCCCTGGGGTTGGACAAGGCCCCTCGGCGCCCTGGGGTTGGACAAGGCCCCTCGGCGCCCTGGGGTTGGACAAGGCCCCTTGGCGCCCTAGGGTTGGACAAGGCCCCTTGGCGCCCTGGGGTTGGAAAGCAGGAGGCTTGCTCCTGTGAAATAGTTCCTGACGCTTATGGACGGGGTCGCCCCTCTGAAACTGTAACCTGGGCCTCTTCATACAGCGACGCCACACTTAGGGGCCGCGCTCCAGCCTGGACGCAGGTGATGTCCGATCCCAGACGCGCCTCGCTGAGCATGATCCTGGCTCTAGCAAAGCCATCCTTGCTGAAGCGGGGCCTGGATACTCACAGTACAGGAAGGGAAGTGGGTGTCCATAGCCAGGAACCTTTCGGCTCCTGTTGGGGCAGCACCGTGTCAATGATGCCCGTCCCCACTGTCGGCTTTCCGTATCCTTGCCTGAGGCCTGCAGTTGAAAAGCTACAAAGTGAGACTGCCTTTTCAATGATGAGCGGTTCAAACCTACTTTTGCTAGCGGTGCTCTGGTTTGGATGGATTTTTAAAATTTTTGGTTTTCAAGATTGCTTTTTGGTCAAAAATGAATGTGAACAAGTCACTTCGAAGGGACATTAGACCAGTGATGGGCGGTTTGTGGTGTGTTTGCTGGGTGGCCAGGTGTTAGCCAGAGTGAGCTTGCCTTCACACAGTATTTTCTGTCTGACTGTTTGGGCAGGAGATTTCATGTGAGCACCTTGCGAACTGAAGGCCCCATCAGGGGGGCAGGGCCTTCCCCTGACGTGCTCCTATCATGGTCCAGTGCGGAGTGCTCCAGGTCTGCATGTTCATATTTGCAGAGATTTCCCAAGCTTCTCAGTTTGGTGATGAGCACCGGTGAATGTTTTCTACGTAGACTGTGTTCTGACAGGAAATCTATACGTCTGCGTTTTTTACTTTGCACTTTGTCAGTTTTATGTGTCTATCCTTGATTAAGCTGATGAATTTATCCGTGAGAGAATTTCCAACTTTGAATGATTGAGGGAGAATCTTTGCTCTTTATTTCATGGCTTATGTTTTCATTGGAACACACCTTAAGGAAGGGTGAAAATCTATTTTTGTTCATGGTAGCCTACATAAGTCAAACAATCTGTATTGCATTTACAGTTTTCAGTGAATATTCTTACAAATAATGATGGATATTTATTGCAAAGAAAATGATTTGAATAAGGTCAAGATTTCTAGGGATGTGGATTAGAGTTTTTTTGTTTTTTTTTTTTAGCCCAGTCATATTATTTTTCTGCACTAAGAAAAGATAAGTAGGTACACAAGTGTTTTGGGTGCATACATATGTGTGTATATATTTGTGTGTGTGTGTGTGTGTGTGTGTGTGTGTGCATGTATATACCCACTCTGTTGTTTTAATAGTACTCTCTTATGTAGTATACATACACTAAATTTTTCTCTCAATTTTTCTTATTTGTTTTCTTATAAACAAAGTGAGAGTAATCACCATATACATTGTTATTGGCTAAGAATCTAGCTTTTAATTTCATTCATTTTTAAAGATCATTTAATAAATTCATCAAACTTTTTTCTTTTTAATGGACAGGTTTATAATATTCAGCTGATTCAGAAAGAATTGGTAGTTGTTAGGTGAAATACCTTTGTGAGAATGTAAAAGTTTCTAAATACAACCAAAATATTTCCATTTATTTTGTGTTAAATGGGGTTCCTGAGTGAGGGGGACATTTCAAAGCAAACATAACTTAAACATTTTTTAAAACACCCTTCTTTTAAATTTTACGGCCTTCCCTTAATAATTCAGAATGTTTGTCTCTAAAAAATCCCTACAAGTCCATTTAGAATTATGAACATGCATGTCCCTAAGGTTGCTTACATTTCAAATGCATGTGAAGCTACTGGGCAACATTGTTATTGTTTTTCTCAGAAATTGTGGGTTTCCTTGATTAGGTAACAGGAAATTATCCTGTGCTTCCCTTTCCATTGATCAGAGATAGTTACTTGGCAGAGTGTATATGACGAGAAACAAGTCTGTGTTCATTTCTCGTGTGGTGTAGCCTGGGAGTCCCGCGCAGAGGCCCCCCAGTAAAATGTTCAGCATGTAAATGGGTTAAAAAAAATTTCTTAAAATGACTGAAATGTAGAAAAAGGCAGTAGGCTCCTCTGAGATGGAGAGAGAATTTATAGACGAGGAACAAATGGCAGGCCTCGAAGGGACGCTGTGTCCGTGCGTGGGCAGGGGTGGCGGAGAATGTGGGCCATGGGCTGTGTGCACGAGATGACCAAGTGCAACCTTCAGGGGTGGTCTGAGTAGGCAGAGGTATGAGAACACCTGGGCATGTGGAACAGATGCATTTTCTCTTTGTCTACGTTGAGGGAGGTGATAACTGTGACCAGAAGTGTTTATAGGACCGAGAGAACTAAGAGTTAGAGGTGAAGTTGTGGAGGAGTGGACAAGCAGATGGCCGTGGGGGAGAAGGAAGCTAACTGATGCTTTTCACTGACGTATATTAAACCTATATTGGTTAGATGGCCGTGCTCTCATTCTTCCTGACAAAATGTGGCTCCTGCGGTAGTGTGGACAAGTGTACAGGACGACCTTGATGACCTTGATAGCTTAGTTTGATCCCATAATGGATGTGTAGAGTGTGTGTCAAGTTGACTCCAGTGTTACTGCTGACTCCGCCATTCCTACTAATGTAACTTTGGGCCGTTGCGTCCGTCTCTCCGATGGGAATAACGACTCCCACAGTTCAAGTCTAGTCCTGGGAATCAATGAGATAAAAATATTTGGAACATACATGCAATTAATTTTGACATTCTACTTATTTATTTCACTGCGTACTAATTAGAGATTAACTGAGTTATGGATCATCTATTGTGTGGCGTCTCAAATGTTAATATCTGTGAGCCTTCGGAGGAAAGCAGGCATTGTTCTATGAGCTAAGTAGTGTTTAAAGCTATTGCAGTTAATTAGAGGAAGGGTCTGCATTGTAAGTGCCTAGAAATACATCATAGCTTTATACTTGTATATGATTAGAGACTCTCAAAATATAGCAAGTGAGTGAATGATTCATTCCTTAGACACAGGAATTTCAAATGTCAGAGAAATCACGTGTGTGTTTTTTTTTTGTTTGTTTGTTTTTTTAATACCTTTGAATTTGGAGACCATGATAATGACTGGTGGCCAATGAAATAAATAATAACATTTGGTCAGTAAGACGTTGAGGATAATGAAGTCACAAGATGACTTGTGACCTTATTATTTTAGCAATTTACTGGGTTTATTTAACATGACAACTCAAGACGAAAGTAGACCAGTTTGTGGAAGGGACCAGTAGGGCTTCTAGAACCTTCACCTAGAGATCTCCAGGGAATGAACTTCTGGGCTGGGTTAAAATCTGACCTTTATTAGCATCACACCATTTTTTGGTGATAGGAGTCGCTAAACTACTGATGAAAGGTGTAGACTTGAGTCATTCGCGATGACCCTGAGTTTCTTTCTGTTGAGGTGCAGCTGACATCTAACATCCGTCATATTAATTTTAGGTGTCCAACATGATGATTCAGTATTCGTACATGTTGCGACACGATCACCACCATCGGTCTAGTTGGCATCCATCACCATACCCGGTTACAGATTTCTTTCTTCTGATGAGGACTCTGAAGATCTAGTCGCAGCCAACTTCAGGTGGATGCAGTGCTACTAACTGCAGCCACCTGCTGTGGCAGTCCTGTTTCCAAGAAGAGTGCCGCAGCTCTACCAAGAGCGTTTCTCCGTTGCCCTCCGGCCTGTGTCCTTGTCGCTGGTGGGGGAGGAGGGAGGTGTCCGCCGGCCCTGGCTGCTGGCGGCCTAGGAACGGCTGGCTACAGCCATGTCACTGAACGCACTGCATTTCCAAGCCCAGCTGTCTCCTCGCCTGGCAAGTCTCACCTAACAGCCCCCGACTTGCTGACCCCCCAACAAAAAATGTCTACAAAACCACCCAGGCTCCGGCCCAGGTGGCAGGTGCTGGGGTGTCTCCTAACCAGGGCGCTGCCCCCACGGCTGCGCTCCGGCCGTGCCCCCTGCATCCACAGTTGGCTTCTCTAGCCACCAACGTCACCCTGGTCTTTGCTGCCGCCCCCCTTTCTTCCCCTGGTGCAGGGAGCACTGAGCCCCCCACCTGTCCAGGTGGCCCGCGTGGACATCCTGCGTGGGCGTCACTCAGCTCCCGTGGCAGCTTCTGACGGGCTGGCGAGCATCCCCAAGCTTTGAACCAGACCCCGCAGCGCCGTCACCGCGGGCCCCTGTGCCCCTGCGCCCCTGCCGGCCCAGCCGGGGTTCCGTGCTCCGGGAAGGACATGTCCCCCTGGCCGGAGGCCGTGTCGGGCAGTTGGCGTGGGAATGAGACCCACACCGGGGCAGATTTATATATTAGAGACATGAAGAGAAAATACTGAACCCCAGATAGTCATCACTTAGGGGAGAGCCTGTGTGTCATTTGTAGATTTAGGAGAGAAAAACCGACACAAGTGTCCTGTCGACATGTAGGTGCTTCGAGGTGCCGCCCGTCTTAGAGGAAAGCGAGGCGGTTAGTTCTGCGCATGTGCAGACACCCCCTTTCCCAATATCCTCGGAACCCCAGGGGATCGAGAGAGCTGCCCTTTTCCCGTCTCTTGTCGCTTCGTGACAGAATTGCGACTCTCCTGGCGACCTCAAAGGGAGGTTGGGCCTGGGTCAGCTGTGTGGGGTGTCAGTTAGTCCAGATGTTTC